TATTTTCTTCTGTGAAATTATTCTTATTCGTTACTGCTTTCAGCAGGTTGGTGTCATTTTCTACAGCCAAGATTCACAGTTAGGGATACATTTGATGGTTCAAACTTGGCAGAAGATTTTTCATCAGTAAACACAACTTACACAAGCACAGGACAAGATCAGTGAAGAGATAAGAGGTCAAACTTTGTCCCCAGGGGATGCTTAGTGTGACACAAAGGTTTTTAGTTGTACAGTGTTAAGCTCTCAGGTTCACAGTCATTTTGTCTTAAGTGGAAATCATCCTTTGTAATTAGCATTTAAAATCAAATGTCATTATATATAATGAGGTAAAATAAGTGTATAAAGAAGTTCCTTATAAAAATGTTTGCATGATTGTTATCCTAATTCACCTCACACACATTTAAGCCATCATAAGAATTGTTTTGTATCCCAGCTCCATTGGTTGCCTGATAAATGATTCAACAAAAATAGCTATTGTAGCTTTTTTTTTTTAAACACTTTATCATACTTAGGGTATTATAACAACTATCCCTACATTTGGTGTATCCTCTGAAGTAACTAGGGTTCTTCTTAAAAGCAGGAGATATGGTGACTACACGCCATCTTTATATGACTGAAATACATTAAAAAACTACAACAGGCTGTATGGCTGATATACAAATAGACTATATGAAGTATATTTAATTTGTAAGAACTCAAGTTTACATCAATACTGTTTTTTAGTTCATTAATATTTCACAACTAATGGCAAGACAATGCTTTGAGTTTTTTAGAATGAAATAGAAACAATGTCATAGGTGACAATATTGTTGAAAGCAGCGGGTTGACTCTGAGTGTCATCATATAGATTATATGTAAGATAGAAAATGTGAGACAAAATGTATTAGGAATAACTATAAAATGTTTAATTATATATACATAATACAATTATATTGTGTCTTGTTGTTGAGTCTTAATCTATTGTTTGTGGCCATCTCCTCCCACATGCACATCCATAGGGCCCCATTGTACCAGGTCGCCCTGAAATCCTGGCTGCACTAGTTAAAAATGAAAATGGTATTGATAAAAACTTTGCACAATTGAAACTAATAACTATATGTGAACATCCTGTCCAAATTTGGTGAAATTCTTATTCTGATTCCAGAGATACATGTGCTAAGGCTAGAGCTGTCCCCTTTGGGGAAGACCTAATTTGACCTAATATGATTTTTGTTTTGATGTATAAAACATCCAAAAAAAGTTATTTTGCAGTAAAATATTTTTATACTACCATCCGTTTCTTAAACTAGACATGTTCAAGTTATGAAAAAATATGGTTGCGCTTTGTTCTACCTCGGGTAGGGGTATCTCAACTTTTAGGGGCCCAAGTTCCTCGACCTAATCTAGACTCTAACATTCAAATGCTGTGAAACGTAGGATATGTACAGGCCTACATATTCAGAGTATTGATTTTATGACAAATTCAAAACAAAGAGGTTTTAAGAGAAGGGAAATTCAACAATTTATTTTCCTGCAGTTCATATGGAACATATGACAGCAGTGTAGTTCAGAGTCTTGTTTTTTTCTTCTTTGTCTTTTCCACATTTATATTATTTTGATACACAGTCAATGGTTCCACATCAGTTTCCTCCGGGCAGAAGTATAAGAGTGTGGATGGTAGAAAGGTGACGGATCCCGTAAGCCATCACCAGAGTTGACTCCTCCAGGGATTCGGCTTGGAACACAATCCGGACATCATCCTCTGAGCAGAAATAAAAATAACTCAGGTCTGGCTTTTATAGATAAACACATTCAGAAGTTTAAGGCTAATAAAACGATAAATGTTTTCTGATCTGTCAGAAAAACAAATGTATTTTTCCGCGTGGGTAGGCCTATGTTATAATAGTCATATAACAATTAAGAAATAGGGGACTACTACTACTACTGAAAATGAAGTGAGACGTACTTATCCTGAGGTCGTTTCTGATTTTCCGTTTAAGCTGCTTCACAGTGATGTTCTTCATCTGCTCAATGTTGTCACACAGATCGATGATCTTTTCTTCTCCTCTGGGATCGTGTACATTCACCTGGATCCCCATTTTTTACAACCAAGCCAGATCAGAGCACTGCGAGAGACGTGTCCAAGTGCAAACGATCCCAGTGCATTTAAAAGGTTAACGAGGGTGTGTAGGAAATCTGATATGCGTCACCTATGAGCTGATTGGACATCATGTGACTTCTAGACAGGTGAATAAACTACTGGAGCTACACATCCGTTGTTGAGACGGAGTCGAGATGGGGAACAATCCGCCACGTCAACGAAGATCCACGGAGCCAACACAGCCCAGACCATTTGGAACTGCTCCCATGAGAAGACCTTTGGAAACGGAGACAGAATCAAGCAACCCAGCTGCACTCAGGGTATATGCTCAAACTGCGAACGCGGCGCTACGACCTAGAGTGAGGACAACATTAACTCCATCAACGTTTGATGCTGAACCAAGTAACTCATCGGACAATTTGGAAACTGGACCAAATTGGCCAAGCACTTTGACAGCTGAACAGGAGGAGAGGTGTTACGACCCAAATGACACAAGGTTTACATTCGTCGATGGAGAAGATCAAATGGATTGTAAGAGAACAGAACTCCCAAATTAATCTGAATTTTATTAAACATATAGCCTATAATAAGGTGAATTGGCCTATACTTAATATTTTAAGGTTATTTGGAGGTTTTCAGTTAATTAGGCTACTGAACAATCGATAGCCTAGTTGTAAAGTTGTAATTGTAAAGCAGCCTACAGCCTTTTGTATTTTGTTGCTATAGCCTACTCACAGAAGAAGTGTTTAATGTTTTCATTGCAGCAGAACATTTTGGGATATGTCCTTTTTTCAGGAATAAGTCAAACCCTGAGGCGTGAGCAGGAAAACAGAGTTAATGTTAACTACAGGCAGCAGTATGCCTTATCCTGTTTAGCAATCGACCGTGGTATAAGGTAAATGATGCACTTCAAGGTGTTCTTCATGAAGGGACTTTAGACTCTGAAAAACAGCTGTCCTGATCTCCTCTCCGTCCATAAATTCCTGATACTTGACCTGACACCTTGTTGGGTGTCATTCTTTAAATACAAAACTAACTACCACTGTCTGTTGCTCTTTTTCTCCTCTAGTTGAGCTCAATGACTACAAGTCTCTCAGAGCAAAGATGTCCTGTGGTCATACTGTGACTCCAACGTCTCTCATCGACTGGTGTCGCAGGCAGCTGGACCAGGTATTAGAAAACTATTATTTTGTTATGTTTCTCCACATTTTCAAAACTGGAAAACAACTATTAGGTTGATTGTCAGGCTTGTTCTAGAGCTATGGATCTTATGAACTATGAGCAGTAGATTTACTTTTTATTTTTTGTTTGAATCCACTTCGTGTCTCTTAAGGCATGAGGATTTTAAATGTCTATTATTTGATAACATTAAGGACTTCTTTTCAGCTCTTCATCTGTCACTTAATTCATGGTGGTAAAAAAGTAAGCAAAAGTGGCAATTAAGTACATTTGATTGATTTTCTCTTTAATTCTCAAGGGTAAGATGGAGTTTGTTTGTGGCCAACCTAAATGTGATGCTGTGTGGTCATTTGAAGAGGTTTGCAAAATGGCTCTGCTGACTCCTGCAGAAACAGAGAACATTGACAAAAGACTGTTCAATTTAGCCAAAGATAATTTGGGTGCCAAAAAAGTAAGTATCTACCAATCACAGGTTCTAAGAGATATTGTGCATTCATACTGAAGATTTTTTTTATTATTTTTTTTATTTTCAACCAAATTTACTCAACAGTGTCCCGGCTGCAAGAGTTTAGTGGTGAGAGAGGACCAGAATGACCTGAGGGTTTGCTGCACAGTGTGCACACGTAAAAAAGAAGGTTACGAATTCTGCTGGCAGTGTTTAAAGAAATGGACAGGTCCATCTGAACATGCCGACTACTGTGCAAACCGTGGATGTGTTAATCAGCCACTGGAAATCCTGAGAAAGTGTCCCGAGATCAACTTCAAGGATGTTAAGATGGTGACCGGCTGTCCCTCTGTCCGTGCCTGTCCCACCTGTGGGTTTCTGATCGAGCATAACGGAAACAAATGCAATCACATCAAATGTCCCCGGTGTAAGGAGGAGTTCTGTTTTGTGTGCTTGAAGCTCTCTGCAGACTGTGATTCATATTTCAGAGCTTGCAACGATGGTGTCGCCCCAAGACAGACCTCTATACCAGTATGGAAGAGGAAATAAGATGACGTGTGAAAGAATTAACAATGCTGTAGTTTATTTTTTTGTGGGGGGATGTATTACAGCAATGTAGCAGACTGTCACTTTAGCATGTACCTTAAGTAGGAAAACTGTCAATGTTAAACTTGGTGCAGCCTGATCAAATGCCAGCAGGGTTTCTTTCGCAAAGCTGCAGAATCAAACAGTGTAAAGAGCAAACTAGTTCAACTCTATAAAGAGCCTCATTTCATATCACAAGCCATTCTGCTGCATTTAAATGAGTTACAATCTAGATCACAGAAGTAAAAGCTAAGCTTCTCACTCTGAGCATGACATCATGGGAATATGGTGAATTACCCCGCCTGTGACACATGCCCATGTGTAATGTAGATTATTAAATGCAACAGAATATAATCAGTTATGGTTAAACAGCAGTTTTCAGCCAAATGTATATTTTTATGAATAGCAACACAGTATTCAGTAAAGACCGAATTTATTGGTATATTCTGATCTCAAGCCAGTTTGTGAAGGTGACAGTGTTTGAGGACTGTTTGGACTTTTTCAGGGAGCCATATGGAATCTGCTTTAAAATTAGAAGGGGAGCTTGAAAACTGCCAACAACTGGTTTGAAAGACATTCACTGAGTGCAATCATTATTTTAAAATATTTCATACTGACTTCAAGTTTTATCTCTTTCACCATCATGGAAATAATTGGAGCGATAGTTAAGAAAATGGAGCGCTTAGTGATTTATTTGATTCTCAAGACACATTGAGCATCCATAATTATACAGTTTATTTTACACAATGACAGTTTATAACTCAGGGATTACTACTTCTTGTAATATTTTGCTAAGTGGTGGTAACACAAAAAGGTGTCTGTATTCTACCCAAACTTCTCTGTACATGTGTTAGAATTGGGAATAATATTATGCTCCAAATTGAGTTTAATTTCACTTCATTTATAATTTTCATCTTAGTTTTTCTGTTAGGGTCATATATATATATAGATACTGTTTTTTGGTGTGGCCATGTTTCCTCATTATGTTTTTTTGGTATCATTTCTGATCAATATAATGTATGTAGGGTGAGAAACCAGCTGATTGATATTTTTGAGCTGCGTTTGATCACAGCAGGTTATCTTTATGTTTTCACATTACTCTGTTCAATAAAAATTGTCATAAAAAGGCATTTTTTCTCTGACTGAATAACTCTACAATTACAACGCAGCCTTCAGATAAATTACTAAGAAGAGACAAACAAAATTATTGAACAATTAAAGTTTATAAAGCTGGTTTTAGAGGCTGTGTTTCCTACAGATTACTGTGTTCATCTGTGCTGGTGTGGATCCTGATCCTGCAGGAGCAACATTTTCTGTAAGACACCAAAACTGCAGCCAGGAGACACACGGCAGCAGTGATGCTGAGAGATGTTTTGACACCGAAGGACAAACAGGTCCAGGTCTGGGCTGAAGTTAAAGTCCCATATGGATCTCTGACCAAAAAAGAAATACAGTGAAGTTAGAACGAGCTCAAAGTTGATAGAAAGTGCGAGTGTTGTTGCTTGTTTAGAATCACAATCACCTGATGATGGAAGCAGGAAATGTATCGACGGCGTCTGAAGGAGGAGTGATGTCAGAGTACAGACACAACCTCCTGTCAGGACAGGAAACTGAACCCTGGTATCCTTCAATCTGACCGTAAAAAACACAAAAGATATTAGATTACATCTGGTTACATTAAATAGACTGCACATTTAACACAAGACATGCTTCACTACATACAAACATTACACTATTACTTTAGAAAGGCAATAAATCAGCTGCTGTTTTTAATGGTGCATGGTGTTTAAATATGGGAATTACTCAGATTGAGTAACCTGTTTTGTCATTCACACCAAATCTTGTCTAAATGTAAATTATCAATCTTTAAAACTGTTAACAATTAAAAGCTTCTGTTTCTGTATTTTTTTTATGTCATTACCTGAATGCTTCCCCCTGCTGGACACTCCACCCACTCAGAGCCTGACACGTGGATTTGGTACCTGTTTGGTCCAGTACACCTGTGTCTGTAACAGCGCCCCTCCACTGTGCTGATGAACGAAGGAAACTGACTCCGGTTCTAAACAAGAGACAAGTGAAGAAAAAAATGACTTTATAATCAACTTAATATGAGAGGGAAATAAAACACATTAATACACTCACATGCACGCGTGAAAACACACGTGTACACACCTGTCTGGTCAGACTGGAGAAGAAGCATCGGCTGTCAAAACCAAAGATCTCCCCAGTCGAGTCCGCTTCAGCTGACCGCCTGGGGTTTTCCTTTTTCCAGCACTCACTCTGAAGGGAAAAGGTGGAGAGGGTAAACGTGACGCTCATATGAACATAAAAAAAGACTGAAAGCGTTGGCATGAAAAATACAATTGATCCCACAAAGCTGCTTTACGTCATTTGAAATTACTACAGAGCAGGAAATACTTCTTACTCCATTTTTGAGGGGTTTATACACTCTGCATCCCTCCAGGTATTGATCAGTCTTGCACTCCCCTTTGTGGAGGTGAAGGTAATGACACCCAAACCCACTGAGAAGAAGAAAAAACGCAAAAAATTTAACATTTTAAATTAAAAAGTGGCTTACATTCCTATCTAGATTATATGTTGTAGAGATAAACAATTATAACTTAATATACCTGCCAGAGCAGAAAAACGATGAGGATTTGTTCTGACAGGTTGACAGGGATCCAAACATGGCCCCTTCTCCTACAAATCAAACATTTATCATATATATTTTTTTATTATTATTATTTATTTATTTATTATTATTTTTCTATACCTACCGTCTCCCCACACCAGACTCTGTGCACTGCTCACGTCTACATTGTACCAGCCCGTGTCCTGTAATGCAGCCAAGGTTACCGGGTCGATCCGGACTGAGGATGAGTCCGCTAGCTCTGCTGCCATGATGGAGCCCTGAAAGATCCTGGACTCCCAGTGTGAGGATACTTTGCCAGGAAGTACACCCTGCATTAACAAAGTAGAAGATCATATAACGGAGGCCTCTTGACAAATCTGGTTAAGTTGGAGCGGTTCTGCAGCTCTGCTAAAGAATTTGAATTGAAGCTCTGTTCTGTACAAGGTTCTCTAGCCATCCCCCAAGCTCAGGATCAGTGGAGTTCAGGTGCTTCTGCAGGGCTGAGATGACAGATGGGGTGTAAATCCTCATGTGGCCGGATCCGTCAGAGTAGGTCACTTTCCCTTGAGGAGAACAGTCGGCACTCTCAGCTAAAAAATTAAAAAACAAGAACGATTTTTCATCCAGGGTTAAAAACACTTTCAAAAGCATGTGAAGTCACATGGATATCTAAGCACACTTCGAAGTATACTTAAAGATTTCAATGTTTTGTGTACTGTAAAGTGCACACCTAAAGTGCCACATTTTGAGTAAATCAATAGAAGTGGGCATTTTGAAGTATATGTCAAAGTTAACAATTTAAAGTATACTTCAAAGTTTTCACTTTTAAGGGACCTTCAAAGTGTACACTTTAAGTGCTCTTAAAAGTTCAATCTTAATCCAAAATTCTTATTACACATTTTTTTAGGTCCTACTTAAATGCACACTTTAAGGGAACTTTGAAACAAAATTAAAAGCTTTTTTGTGAACTTCTAATTACACAATTGTAAGGTCACTTTACTGCCACACATTAAACAGTACTTAAGAGAGCACACTGTTAAGGGAACTTTAAAGTTTCAACTTAAGGTCTCTTCAAAGTGACATTTTTAATAGCGCACATTTTGATGTGCCCACTTCAGAATGCCCTATAAAGAGCACACTTTTAAAGGCACTTGAGAGTTTTTAAGGGCACTTAAACGGCACACTTTTAAGCCCACTTCACATGCTGACCTCAAAGTATTATATAATTACATAAAAAAAATTTGTTAAAAAAAAACCTTGCGACATGGAGGAACAGTCTCGCCAGGTGTGGAAGAGCTCTTTAGAGAAACCCAGCACATGAAACAGCTCATGGATCACAGTCTGTAACATGAACACACAAGATTCAACACACAATTTCAAACTACCGAGAACATTTTTGTTTTTTCATATTTAAAATAATACCTGTACAGCTGACTGGTGACTAAACGTTTCTCCTTTCAGTCTGTCCCTGCAGATGACCACCACCCCGGCCACAGGTCGTCCAAGTGCATCTGTCTGGCAGTGAGCAGCGTAGGCCAAAATATTAGGCTTAGGGGGCAAAAGGACGCAAGGATGAGTATAATGAAATCAGCAGATAAGGAAAGCTTCATCTTTCATGATTGTCGATTCAATTGCAAAATAAGAAAGTGTGTATGTTAAGTTACCAATATCAAAAGTAACCATTCAGCAAGATCAACTTTGTTATCTAAATAGGTTAAATTACAGAATGAAATCTTAAACATTTCCTTTTGAAATAATGTGACAATGAGAATTATTATCCAAACTACTGTTGATTTTTTTTCTTTACTTGGAGGAACTTTAACTTTAGGACATTAAAATGGAGAATATGTCAATAAATGCTGTTACAAATATTTTGGAGGTCAAAAAAACTATTTAATGAGTAATTTAGATGTGATGAAAATATAAAAGGCAAACAAAATATCCTCTGGTAAAAAGTGTTAATATAAACATAAAGTGGATCAATCTAAGGATTCAAAAGTCAGTCAGTCTATTTTGTTCCTTTCTTTGATTTTTAAATTGTCCTCTGCTGCCACCTTGAGGGATTTTTTTCAAAACAGCAGACGCCCAAGACCAGTACTAATTAAATCTTTACCTATCAAACTTCTGAAATCTGATGTTTTTACAACATACACCAAAAATAAAGTTTTAACATATTAAAAATAAGAGTCAATGGTAAATATGAGACCCATTTAGGCTAATCAATATGATAGATCTCAAAGTTTTCAGCGTGTGTGTACCTTTGCTCTGCACTTGTCAGTGGACTTCATGTGAAGGTACAGCAGGAAGTCCGTGTCAGCGAGTCCTGCACCTCCAGGACGGAGCTCAGTCCTGTGAGGTGAATCAGCATGAATGTAAATATCACATCCAGCAAGATGATCGTCTGGGATCTGTAGACAGGGTTGAAAAACACATTTCATTAAGTGTAGTTCAGAGACAAACAGCAGAAACAGCTGCATGTTTTAATGATACTTACTGTCACATCCAGACAGGTCTCAGTTCTGTAGTTGCTGTTGGCTCGACCACACCTGAGGCACGAATTGTAGGTTTACCACATGTAAGGAATTATGAACAGACAGTAAACATAGGACTATAAGATTGAACAAATACATTTATAAAATACTTCACTGTATTTCCAAAAGAGAAAGTGTGACTGTTGTTTGACTGCAAACTTGACTTTAGAGCATTTCTACTCATGAAGTCCTCTGTGCATTTAGGATCTGCATAAACACAATCACAGCCTTTCTATGTACACACCTGTTGTAGTTGGCAGTACTTGAATTCCTCCAGAGAAACTTGCAGTATTTGTTAACATCTCTGCTGAGCAGCAACGGACCGACAACTCTGTTCACTATGAAAGGTCGAGAATTCATAAAAAGAACTTGTTAGTGTATGTTATGACATATTTTCCTGCTGCCTTTTCAGCATGAATACTGATCAGTAGGGGGAGCTCTTCCTGCTCAGAGAAACATTTACTGTGTGGACTGTTTGTCACCTGACAGTAAAGAGGAGACCGTCCTCACAGCCTGCTCTACCGCTGCTTCCGTCCTCTTCTTCTCAGCCTCTGATAGGTTGTTGCTCTCTTTTGCAATCCAGGTCCGGATCCTGATTGGCTGGGGGGAGGAAGCAGTAGGCGGGGCTTTCTCCTTCAGGCTCTTCCTCAGATGTGATGCCCTCTGTCCTGTACGGTCTGTGGGTTGAAGTAGTCCAGCTCTTTGGCTGCAGCTTGGACCATTGTCACCTTGTCCTGAACCTCATCAAAGATGCACTTCGGCTGAACCCCAGTTAGCTCCAACACCACCAACACCACCAAACATCCCCACCCAGATCTCTGGGAGGAAGGTGAAACATAACAATAGTTGGAACTTATTTCAGGGTGGATGATTTATTAGTTGTTGGACATTTTGGTGCAGTCGTAGATATGTTTTCACAAAGAGAGATTTAGTCCTGAGTGTAGTGGATTAAACTAAGCTGATAGTGACACTTGAATCATCAGCAGCCTTTGGGGGGGGTTCAGGTAAATACAGTGAATGATATGAAATGATGCTAAATTGGATTATTAGTACTCCTGGATTGTAGTACTCCTTGTCTTAAGTATGATATTTTATTAAATTAGCCTATTGTAGTTATTAAATG